GGGAATGTCTTGGTATGGTTGCACATGTCACAGGTGCTTATGTACTTATTGACAAATTTAGACATCCCAGGCCACCAGTAGTTCCACAATATGAACTTGAGGGTTTTGGCACAACCATCATGACCGGCAATCAGCGAGTCGTGGTGGATCTTGACAATATCCCACCAGAGCTCTGTGTTCTTTGGGATGTATATGCACCCATGCATCAAAAAAAGCCCTTGCTTGGCATTCCACTCCTCAAAACCTTTCTGCAGCTGAGGTGGCCCTAGGTCCCACACCTTTTCAAGTGCCTCAGCCATGGCCTGATCCTTGTCCGAACACTCTCTGATGCGCTTTAGGAGTGACTGATCAGCAGTTACTGAAGCATGCCCACACTGAAACATTTGTCTTTCCGTTCTATTCCTTGGACTACTAGCGCCCATACTGGCGCCTGTCTTAGCGCTCACCCGCAGGTTGAACATTATGTAGCTTACATAATGGGGTCCGTGCGCACTTCATACCTGATATCGTACCACTATGTTTCTTTCTTTGCTAAACACGACCACACAGATACGATGGTCCGTGCGTAGCTGGTACTTGTATAAATAGCTGTACCATTAGTCAGTTGAACCCTAAGTTCGACCTGGTTATTCATTCAAGTCTCTGCTCCTCTTCGCTTGGGGTAGTGGTCATTCTCGACTTCCTCGCTCGATCTTCAGGACAATGCACTGTCCATAAGTCCTCGCTCGTTGCCTACGAGTCAGGCATCGATATAGGAGTATAGACCATTGTAACAAAAGGTCGAACTTCCTAAGCTACGTTCCTAGTTTTACCTAGTCGAACATCTCATCCACCATCACGTCGAACAACGCAGTCAACCCAGTTTCTTTGGGACTACCAGCCCTCGCAGGATCACCGCTCCTCCAGTATGACCAAGCAGATTGCTGCTTCGTCACCTCCACAAAAAGGGCTCCCATCTACCCTCGAGGCGGCACCTGGGTCCGCACAGAAGGTTCCAACCCGCAGATCGTCGCCCATCAACAGCTTGTCAGCTATTACCAGAGACACCCTCCCGCTCACCCAGAAGACGTATTCGCCACCCTACGAATCAACGTCGAACCAGCACAAACAACAGAGAACCTACAGTCACCTGTTAATGAACAACCGTTCGAACTCCCGGACGTTCAGTACGTCCCCATCGAGATCCCGAACATCGAACTACCACCAGCTCCACCCGCACCAACCAACACACCGGTTGAAGTCCCTATGGCAACGTTCACCCAAGAAGACATCGATCAGCGCATCGCTGTCGCCCTTGCAGCATACCAATCCCAACAGTCAACTGCCAACTGACCCCTTCGCCTCGACATCCCCGTTCCCGAACCCTTCAGCGGAAAGGCGGAGGACCTCAGACGCTTCATCCATTGCATCCTCTCCTACTTCGTTGCCACCAACAACACCCACCTCAGCGATGAAGCAAAGATCGCCTTCACTGTAGCACTGATGAGGAAGGATCTGGGGAAAACTTGGGCGGACACGTATTACGAAAAGTCGGCAGGGGGAGTCCAGGTCTATTCCACTTGGGCAGACTTCGTTGCCGCTCTAGAAGAGGCGTTCCCTGAGCACGGGACGCGAATCAAGGCACATCAAATCCTGATGAAACTCCCTGAACGACAGAAGGATAGGAAGACAGTGCTCTCCCTCGGTAACTACGTCACCCGCTTCGAGCAGCTAGCATCAAAGGCTCAGCTCAAGGACGCCGAGGTCAATGGCACCAACCGCGTCGAGAACGACTACCACACTCTCCATGCCAACTTCGTCAAAGA